GCATAAATACACAAGTATGGCATAAATATTTGATTTGGTTTTAATTTAACATTAGCTATCATGTGATCAAATAAAAAACTTCCAGCAGGTTCAGCCAAGTTTTTAAAGTTGATTGCAATCCATTACATGGCGATGTGAGTTTTGTGTACGAGAGGTAATCTAATTCTTGACATTTCAATGAGATAGAAAAATTTGTTTTCGTTTTTCTGAGAAGGGTTTTTGAAAACATTTGGGAGAGCGCATAACGTGCTCAGAACATAAAAATAATTCGCCATTTGGTATTATAAGAATTAAACGCGCTTACTGAACAACCGCAATAGCACCCAGCTTGAATAAAATCACTATATCCGAATGCTAAGAATCTTATCGAATGAATCCTATAAGTTCCAACAAAATTGAGCATTAAGATTATTAAAAGAACGGTACTTTTTTTGACAAGCAAGTTGTAAGATGAGGGAGGTTTCTTGCAAAAATGTAAGATAAGAACTTCTTGTACGAATTTTTTTGTACAAAAATTCTACGCTGCCGCAAATTACAAGATTGGAATTTCATTGGCCCAAATTAACAATTCGCTGCACGAGGTAACCGAAAGAAGCGCGTCTTAACCGCTAATTTGGAACAGTCAGTTTGAGTTGATAATTGCTAATTTCAAGTGGGTTTCATTCATGACCGCAAGGCTCAGATTTTGACACTTTGATATTATTTCTCATAAAACATCATGCGCTTAAAACCACCAAGAGAGATCAGGCTCTGGAATGACTACTACCAAGAATTGTTCAGAAAATTTGATTAACTGGCCTGCGAAAATTGACGCACGGGCTATACAAGCAGATTTAGAAAATTGGGGTTTATTATTTCTAAATTTTGACGTACTTAAATATAACCGGTAAGTTCAAATAGATTTAGTGAACGTACTTCAAGCGACCTGAACTTTTCATCATATAAAAAAGGTAATCTTGGGAGCTCAAATGCATTGCAAGTCACCATGAGCCAACTTAGTCAGGGGCGGATCTAGGATTTTCTCGAGGGGGCGGATTTTCAAGAAGTTTCGAGAATTTTGTTGACTTTTTTAGGTTGACCAAATTGTTCTTCTGAGCTTTTAGTTACTTTTTGGGAAAATTTGACCGAAAAGTTGCGTTTTTTTTGGTGTGCGCTTTCCCTTCAAAGTTTGTAAACATTGGCAGCAAATGCGCCTTTAGAAAATTTTTAGGGCCAGTCAGCCAAAAATTGATATCTCAAAATAGTACAAAAGGGGACCCTTTGGGTCGTCAGGGCGTCGAATTCCTGAGGGGGCATCCGCCCAAACCGCCGCCCCCAATCTACCCAATAGAATTAAATCTACCCAATATAATTTTATTGATTCCTATAAAAATTTTAAAATAATTTTCGAAATCAAGCCGTATCGTTCAATTTTATTTATTCTCTCAAGCAAAAACAGAATTCTACAATAACCTCCCAATCCTCTTCCCCCCTTTAATTGGTCCTTTTAATAGGCGGAAGTTTTTTTTACTAGGTAGGATACTGGAGTTAATGGGGGGGGGGGGAGGAATTGTCAACAAGATGTCTTACCCCTCCCCGCCTCCCTCTACTTTGTTCACCCTGTTTGAGGTGAGTTAACGAAGGCACTTTGGACGCCTTTGTCTTGCCTCCTTTTACCACTTTAATCTCCACCTTCCCTTCTAATTTATCATATCCTTTGTTTGATTTGTCTCGCTCTAAATGTGTCTTCACAGTCAAACTTCACCAAACCGTCATTCTTTTTTCCTATTTTCATCGCTCCTATTTAAAAAGATAACGCGGCTCAGATCAGTGCGTATCCTGTTCTATCTATTCAAATTACTCCTTCTTCTGCGCAGTAGTCTGCATCATAACCAATTCCTAAGTTTGCTAAATTGGTTCCTAAGTTTGCCACAAAATTGCGGTTTTATAGGAATTGCTGATTAGTTCGAAAATAAAAATATGATTTGTCTTTTGTTTTGTAATGTGCTGAAAGAAAGCGGCCGTAAAAATGTTTTTAATCGCACCGAATTGAACGGAAGAGAAGGCAGGTTAAAAAAGCGGGCCTTTTTTTACTTCTGCTGATTTTTGTGGACTGCCTCTAATTGTTTTAAAGAGACTGTATGCGGATCGACTGATTAAGCAATTCTAAAGTTATTTTGTATTGGTAAATAATTTTATCAAATCACTCGTTAGATCATAAAGTTAGTGTCAATGTGAAGTGGGGGAGAAAAGAGACAAAAATGGTAGATATTTGATTGGATGTTTGATCTCATATCAAGAAACTCAATTGCGTATCGAAGGACCGCAACTTCGAAACCTGGACAGGTTTTCATAATGGCGGTTCAGTCTGAAAACGAACCGCTGTGTTGTTTGACAAGGAGTCGCGATGTCACAGACATATCGCTGTTTACCTTTTGTAATTCGGACCTTCGAAGAAAGTGAGAAATATTTATGCTCGACGACTATTAAAAAAACTCCCCCGGAGGATCGAATGTGCATGCCGCCAGTCGAGAGTGCACACCACTATATTAACCTGCCACAATTCTGTGCAAAACTGCTTGTTTTATTATCCCGAACTACAAAACCGTTCCAAACTGAAATGAGGCACCTAATTGGTTTTATCGACTTCATACGCGATCCAAATTACAGCACTTAATTTTTGGTATTATCAGCCTAAAACTCATAGTTTTGCCACTATTTAAATTAACAAAAAATTATCTGTGAGATCAATTAAAGGCAGTCGGAACATTCAAGATTTTTTCCCTGATAAGAGCAGCCTTGTTTTAATTTACAGCACGATGCTTAAAACAATCATAACTTTAATACAAGAATCAATTGACTTCAGTTTTGAATAGCTTAGGAGAAATTTGATTTTTACCTCCTAAATTTCAATAGTTAAACTCAACTCTAATTTTTCTATAAAACGGACAACAATGCTAAATACTTTTACCTTTTTTATTACGACAAAGGTGTAAAAAATATATAAAATTTAATTTGTCTTGTTGATTGTTACCCACGTCGAGGTGCTCGCTTAAAAATTCGACTTTCAAATTCGAGCACCTGTCAGCGCTTGATCACAAAAGATTAGTCGAGACAGGATTTGGGTCGAGCACAAATTCGAAGCAAAGCTTGAGCACGGTCAAACCATAACTCGAGCACGGTCAAAACAAACCTCGAGTAAAAAAAATTCTGTCAAATATCAAATATTCATTTTTAACGTTTTCAGCTCAAATTACGAACCAGTATTGCAAAAGATTTTAAAAAACATAGTTCAAAAACAGTTCATTTCTACAAAGCATTTAAATTGTAAATAACTCTACTCATTTCATTCTGATAAAAAATCATCATAGATGTTATCCGAAAAGCATAAATAATAACAGTCAAATTTGGATAACTCATGTTGTTTGAAAGTTGAAACTTGCCGAATTCGGTCGGGCACGGTCAAAATGTATCTTGCCTAGGTCGAGCACGGTCGAGCACATTTGTTTCGGTCTTTTAAAAAAAAAGGCTTCAAATGAAGAAATCAAAAAGTCAGTAGCAAGCTATAATCTGGACTTATAGCTTGAAATAACGCTTAAGATTGGAGCAAAAAAGCAATAGTCGCAAGGCATTTTTTTTGTGACGCCAGTTGCGGCCAAATCTTTCTGGGTCTCGCCGGTCGCAGAAATTTTTTCTGTTATTATAATTAACTCAAGTATTGATAAAGCTGAATGTGTGATGTTACGTTGCAAGGTAACAAAAACAAATCTGTTTATAAAACTTTTTTTGTTCACTATCAAAAAATTCATTGCAACTCGAAAACGTTGAATGGTTTATCAAATATGACTTTCAAATGTGGGAGTGAGGAGTAGATAAGAGCCCGCGTTGGTCACAGACACACCCCCACCTGAAAAACCTCAAAAGCCTAAATTTTGGGTGCAACGGTTGAGAAAGATCTAATTTTGATTGCGACAGTCAAGAAATACCAAAATTCGGAAAAGATAATCAAATCATAAAATAACTACCTCTCATTGAGATGTTTGAGTTTCATTTGAGGAGTATTTACAAAAAAATCAGAAGCTTCGGGTCCAAAAGTATGATTAAAAAACTAAACTGAAAAGTGGAATTGATATGCTTTAGCCTTTTCATTGCCTAAACTTATTGAATTTTGTATGGTAAGTAGCTGATATTTTCTGAACCTATTTTTTGTCTTATTTTTTAAGAAAATTCTCAAATTTATATTCAGAACAACAGGAAATATTATTCATGAAAATTGCAGGGAAAATGGTTAAAACCCAGCTCAACTAGCAAAATTGATACTTTATCAAGCTTACTACTGTAATAGTTTTACAAATATGGGCGGATCTAGCCTTTTCTTGAGAAGGGGTCAATTTTTGAAAATAAGAAAAAAATTCGGTGACTTTTTTAAAGACCCTATTTTGACCAAAAACTTAGTGCCGCGGGCAATTTGAAAAAAGAATAAAAAAAACGGTTTTTGGGCACTTTTTGGAGACTTTCCACCAAAAATTGCCTTTTTCTGGCGCGCTCTCCGCTTCAAAAATTAGTATATATTAACGCCAAAGGCACCTCTAGAAAATTTTAAGGTTGGTCGTCGGCCTAATGGATGTCATAAACAATACCAAAGGTTCCGTTTGATGAATGATGCAATAGTTTAAGGATTCAATGTAAAATTTTGTGTTAAAATATTTTGTTTTTGTTTCTATTTCGGATTTTTGAGCAGTTTTTGTCGAGAAGTAAAAGCTTTTGAGATTTAGCACAGTTTTTACTCTAAACTTTTGGATTATTTTTGGCAACTATCATCGAACTTTTGCATTTTAAAAGTAGAAGGCTCTGAAATGTGATAATTGGTAGCTTTGGGATCATGTGATCATCCTTCAGGCGGTAAAGTGACTATACAACAATAATATTGCTCCATGAAAGCCAAAATTTACGACCACCTCCGCTGTCCCTATTCCAAATGGGCAAATTGTTTATCTGGCCCATTTCCTTGTTTATTTTAGCAAGCAATTTGTATCCGGCGTTCCATGAGGAGCCTGCAGATCAAACTGTTATTTGTCCGGCAACTGGAACTGGAAACTGAAACTAGTTGCACACAGACGAACGCAGAAATAAGTTTACACGCGTCAATGAGACGACCAAAATCTAGCCGACTTTCAGCAGATTTCATGAGGTACAATTTGCCTGATGGCACAAAAAATAGTTTGTTTTCCATTTTTGTTCGCTCATTAGCTTATCGAACCATTAGTTTATCGCGACATATGCAATTTTTGCGTCAATTTTTAACTGGAATTAAATTTATTAAATTTTAATATAAATTGGTTTAGTTCACCGTGATTCTTGACTCGTACTGACACATTTACAACATAGCTAAAACGCACTGGCTCATAAAAAGATCGACAGAAATCTTCAAAAGTTATGTTCAGTTCTCAGCATTCTCCCGAAGCTTGGAAGAACCAAATGATCCCGTTCTGCACAACAATAATTGAAATAGAGAGCTTTTTTTCAATGCTTTCCCACTCGGACGGAATAAATAATTCTAACGATTTTAACATTTCAAGATCTCAGCTAAATTTTAAGGTTGTCAGTTGTCAATAATGGAAAAATGGAAACCATGAAATTACCAAAACCATCGTTAAAAGTTGGCAAGGAGACGTGAGGATGGGAGGGGGAGGGGGGGGTATGTGTAGGTAGTAACGAACGTTATGTCTGGTCTTAATTGCATCGGCTTGCCGACCTTGGTTCCTAACCCTGTCTCAAATCACTTGAGTTTATTATTGTGGGATTGGTGCGCTGAACTATTCGACCATCACAGCGCATGACTGACGTTGTTTTCTTTAATTTGATCAGAACAACACTTCCTATTTGTTCAACTTTGGATACTTTCGGGACGTCCTGGACTGAAGTTACCAAATATACACAAGTCAGCGTGTATTTTGAAACCCCGCAAATCATACAAGAGCACGAAACTTTTTGAGCTACATTTCAAAACTCAGCGAAGAGTATAATTAAATCTGGAGAAATCGCTGACTCGTCTGAGATGTAATCCCTTTTGAGCATTAAGATTCAGCAAAAGACGATAATATTGATCTTTTGAGAATTAGCCCGACAGTTTTGAGGATTTCCTTGTCAGCAATCAAATCTAATTGGTGATCCATTTCAGAAAAATGTCCTCAAATTCAATCTTTTCCGACCTGGGATTAAGCTGACGTTTTGCACACTCCTCATTTTAAGGCTCAGTTTGATCTGGTTAAATTGAATACATGCATGGAACTCGACCTCTAAGTCAAAAATTTTTGATTATTCGCAAATTTTAAAGTTTTACCAGAGGTAAAGCTTATTGAAAAAAGCTTTTGTAATCGTAGTCTCAGCGAATCGACCCTTTCATGGCCCAACCCAAACGATGCTAATTCTGGTTATCTTGAGCATTTTTGGGTTGCTACTTGTTAAAAACTGAATTGGCCAATCTAAGGGATTTTGCGTTGCCAAGTCATATTATATTTGTAACTGCGGTTTGCACCAAAGAGCAGCTCAAGTTATTTCCAAAAAAGTAGTTTTTTTTCACGGTAAAAAAGTCACATTTGCAGCTGGCGCAACCTGTTTTGTCAAAAACATTTGCTCTCACAGAAATCAGAGTGCTATGGCCAGCAGAAGCGGATCTAGGATTTTCTCGAGGGGTGGACATAACTGCCGTTTTCGGGGACTTTTGGCAGTTTTGGCATTTTTAAGGTTCGCCTAACATTTTTAAGGTTCGCCTAACATTTTTAAGGTTCGCCAAACATAAATACATGTCAACCCCCTGACCCCCTCCTAATATGATAATAGCCAGCATAGATACTTTTAAGCAGAAGAAAAGTGTAAAGAATGAGACAATTTTCACAATTTTGATGTAATTCACAATTTTAAAGAGTCAAAAAAGGAAGTTGAGGTTTACCCCCCGGATTTGACTCATTACGATGGTCTGACTCAACTATAAGATTTCCCTTCGCCTCCGAAAAAACCATCGGCTGCAGTTGTTTCATTAGGTAATTTTTGTTTCCTTTATAACCCCTTTGGGTTGCCTGCTTCAAAGTGTCTCATTGAGGACTGAATGCCAATAGCAGGTCGGCACAGCTCTAACAAATGCTAATATTTATCCTTAATCCGATCCGAGGGATTGCCTAGCAAATTCATCAATTAGCCGATAAACTTGATCAATTTATGCAGGGTATTTTGTACGGTGTAATTAATTTTCAGTTCAGTGGGTGTGCAAATTGCATTGGCCAAGTTCTCCTATGCAAAATTTTTTGGGAGGGAGGGGTGAATGGTAGGAAAAGATAGAGAATGGGGAAGAACAAATTGGGGAAGATGACAGCCGATTGATTGATAAGGTCTAATCGTGTTCGCAGAATACAAATAAAGTACTAAACTGTCCGCGTTACTACCTATAACCAGCAGTTGTTCCACTTTAAGGCCATTAAGATTAAGTTGCTAGTCGAAATGGTTGCAATCCAGATTAGTAATGAATTTACCTTGTTCTCTTTTGCGACCTGAAAAAGAAAAGAGACTCCAAGTTTCGACCTAGATTCAGTTCGTCTTCGTGCAACTAGTGGAACTTTGTAATAAAAAAGGGATCCGAAGTTAGCACCAAATTAAAGTATATCAGAAATAATGCTTCAAATTCACTTTAATTCTGGGTTAGTACCGGAAGTGTTGGATTATCAGTGTCAACTCGATAGCACTTTACAGAGGAGAAACCCAATCCTATTTCAGCTGCTGTTAACTTACTATTGCCTCCGCCGTCACAACTAGGCATAATAACATGGAAAATGTGGTACCGTTTCTTAATGTTATTAAAATGAAAGCCTATTTATTTATAATCTGCTCCGATTCATTTCCATAACAAAATGTCCATCAGAAACACAGGTACGAATTGGCTTCTTTTCCCCTTGTCATCAAAAACTCAGTTTTCCGTGTCCAACAAACTTGTCTAGATAGAAAGTTCATAAATGCATTATAAACATCAAACTTAAAAAATCATAGGGCCATTTTCTTGCATGTCGTGTAAAAAAACGCAGCACCGTACAAAAAATATATTCCAAACCGACTTCATATATGAAATTTAAATGAAAAATTTTCATAAAAAGTATATAAATTTTTCGGGTATTGCGGTTTGCATGAAGCTCAGGTCGGGTTAAAACACCATAATTTCCATATTTTGACTATTAAATTGAACATATTCAAAGTAATTGACTAATATACTCTGTAAATTATGCATAAATTTGTCAAGTATTCTAGTTTGCTTACTTTGAAAGTAAGCTTGATTTTTCATTATTTTTTTCCATGAGACTTTTTCCAAATTATATAGCGAGGGAAAAATTACAGTGAAGTAAGTACTTGATTTTCGTTGTTCGCTCTAATTCTTCACTTTCATCTGAGTTGCAAATATTCAGACCAAAATTTTTGCTTTAATTTTTTATTTTGGAGTCGCAATAAAATACTAAATTATCTACTGGCTCATAGACAATTAAAATTGTTACATTGTGGGAACAAAATGAGTTTTCTATAATTTATTTTTGGAGTCTTAATGTTATCCTAAACAATTTATAGGCACAGAGACGTTGTTCCGCGCAAAATCAGGTGCCACAAATATTTATCGAAAGGTGCGAGTGATAAACCATTTTAAAATTTGTGAGTTTTGATTCAATCAACATAAAAGATTCAAACGAATTTTTCCTCAGTCTCAACAAAAATTGGTTGGAAGTTTCAAACTGTTGGTGTATTTCAAAGCTATTAAAACGAGCGAGCAGGCTTATAATAGTAAGCTTATTAAACAAAAACTCCCAGTCAGTACTGAAAAACTAATCTTATTCCAGAAAAATTAGTTTTGGAAGCGTTTTGTTTTGGAAGCGCTATGCTTCACATTCGCTTTTTTGGCAATACAATTTAGCAAAAACTTTCTCAATTATTAATTTAATTTTTTGAAGACAACTATTGACAATTCTCCCTAGGCGTGTTTGTACAAATTTTTCATCAAATTTTTTATAATGAATGTACGCCAAAATTTTTGTGCGAATTGCACAAGAACCTTCTGTTCTAGTTAAATAATCATATTTGCAAAATTTGAAGCAAATATCTGAAAAGCTGTCATGAGATCTTTAGGCCAGTTTTCAGACGTCTCCAATTCGTCTTCAGTCGGATGTTTGATATTTCTCATTTGAGAATTTTTTTGTTTGTAATAATTAATAAACTTCATAATTAGTCGTAACCACTTTACTGCATTTGTGCAAATAACGCTTGATAGTTAAAATTGATTGTTGATATTTTTCTAGTTTCAGCAAAGCGGCGCATAATTTCATCGTGTCACTTCAAAAATTGGGCGTCGATTTCCTGGATTGAAAAAATTTCAAGAGTTTCTGACAAAATACGCACAAAAAAAACATCGCTGCATTCACTTTACCTTGCTGAAAAAGTTTCCCTTGCTGAACGAATACAGAAAAAAATAACTGAACGAGAACCAAGAGAAACAACTTGATCGTATATTTGATTTTTAATGAAATCTCCCCTATCTACAATATGAAACACAAAATGATTTGTAGTAACGCGTTTTCTTGACCAACTAGATTGTCTCAATTCAAAATGGAATGCTTTTCGAGAAGTTATTCGACTCGTACGTTACGCGTAGTTGAAAATTGAGCACTAATTATTCGCAAACAATAATCACAATTAATATGTAATTTTAATTTTAAATTTATGATGAGAACATGACATTTGAGTCGTTTTCATTTTCCGCCAGACTCTTCAGCTGGTTTTGTAATGACGAATCGCGCAGATTAGAACGCAAACTAATTAAAACATAACAAAACTGCTCATATCAGGGCCAAGTCTTGAGTGTTCCGACTGCCTTTTAAGGTTTATGGAGCAGTAATAACATTAAAAAGTTAAAAGTAATAAAACAAAATGAAAAAAAAAATTTCTCTGAAATTTAAAATTTTTTATGAAAATCATCAAATCATCCCCCACACGCCATATAAAGTACAAAAAGATAGATTTCGCTCCTTGTAACAAATCAATTATGCCAAATAAGCTTCCTTCAACCAATTTGGAACGATTTCTAAGGCGGTTTAACTCTAAGCTTACGCGTTAATAGCGCGAAATAGATCGCGCGTTAATTATCCGAAATTGACCAAAATGGTAACCTCTAAACCCGTAATCTCTAAAAATTCCGTCAAAAATGGCTAGTTAAAAAGTCGAAATTTGTCTGAAGAAAAAAAACCCACCCGAGCACAAATATTCCGTTACTTTCGTTAAAAAAGTCGGAACAATAAGCAAACATGACTGCTACTATCAAATAAAAGCCCTAAACGTTACGATATCCTTCAATACCGATGGAAACTTTTTTGCGTTCAATAGCTTTAGAATCGTAGGAAAAAAAATTTTTGTTTCATTTTTTTTCAAAGCAGAACACTTTTTCATTCTTACTTCTAAATGTATTACCCTCTACACTATGTTAAAATATATAGTGATTTATTTGAGTCGAGAAACGTATTGATAAGAGCAAATTGCTAGCCTCTTTTTTCAATTTGATTACCAAGGACGCTTTAATAGGCCGAGATCTATCGCGAGTTTTTTTTATCCAATATGATTGATAGCTAACAAAATGGTCACTAAATCAACGCACCATAATTTAAAAGCAAATAGGATGAGTTGAAACGTCTTCTTGATTTTGAGCTTTGAAAATCAATATTTTTGAGATGATGTTTAGAAAACTTACCAAAAATGGCTATTTAAAATTTTAAATTTGTCTGGCGAGCACTTTTTCGTCACTTTCAAAAAGTGGTAAGCACTCAGTGAACTTAGAAGCTGTTAGTCGGATTAATCGCAGAAGAAAAAAGGATCTACTTAACAATCTCCCCCTTTCAAGAAAGGGGAGGAAATTGCTAAGTAGATTACTTGCAGAATTTTCGGCCAATCAGAATGCAGCAAAACTCGAATTTAAATACAACTCTCTAGCGCGAGTTTACTAATTTTATTTACAGGGGTCGAGATTGTTTAGTAGATACAAAGGTGGGGGGGGGGGGGGAGAGATTGTTAAGTAGATCCAGAAAAAAATCATGATCCAAGTTGATTTTTTATTCGATTTTAGACAATGAGCCCAAAGAAAGCTTGGACGCCATTGAACGATTTAGGATATCGATACTATTTGTGTCTGCATTCGGATTCCAAAACGATACTCAAAAAAATTCCAGTTGTTTGATCTATTTTTTGGCAATGAACTATCTGTTTTGTTTTGGTTTTACTTATTTCATAAAATTAAGCATTTTAATTGCTCATACCGTTTCAAAAGAATCTTATACGCTGACCTATCAGCCAAAATTGTTGAGTTCTAGGTTGTGTATCGTCCTTGACGAGTAAATAGAGTTGTTAAAAGCGAAAGATTTTTAATTTTCTTTTTTCATGGTTTTTCAAGATAGTGTAACTTCTGATTCCTTTTTGTTTTAGATGATCTGCTGCATATGGCGAGAAACGACGAGACCAACATTGCTGGTCAAAAGTTCTTTAATGAGATAAATGTTTATATGGAAAAAATCCCTTCTGGTCATCGTTGTAAAGTCATTTGTTGTACCATTGGTTGAATCTTTGTACCATCAAGCAAGCAGATGATTTGGAAGCAAATCTGCCTTACCGAGCCAAAAACAACACAAAATGTGTCCGTTTCTAAGTGTCCATTGTTATGCTTGCCGTATCTATGTTTTTTATTGATATAACTCCTTAAAAATATCTGGCAACAAATAAGTCCAGGACCGACAGTTTTATCTGGTTATCATTGTTTCAATACAGAACTCAAGTGTCGGTTATTTATTATTATTGGTATTATTATCGACAGATGTTTGTCACGATCTACTCCAACAAATATACATACTGAGAAGTACCAAACAAACTCTTTGTAATTTTATAACAAGACTCTTCAGAAAACAAGATTCTTGGGTTATTTATCATTCAGAAAACAATATTCTTGGGTTACTTAACGTTTTCATCATTCGATGGGCGGAAAAATAACGGTAAAAATTACGATAACGATTACAACTTAAATTAATGGCAATGTTAAATTGAACAATCATCACCAGAAGCCGGCTAAACTTCAACTGAGAGGAGTTCTCGTTCTGGTTGCGATGCTGTTTATCGTAATTGTGAGCTGTCTCGTGTCACCAACTGTAGCTGCCTACACCAATCCCACAACTAACATCATCAAAATCGGTAGGTTTATTGGCGCCTATTTGTCCAAAAAGTTTCCAGGCTTGAAAAGTAACTGTAGCATGTTAATCTTAGTAATTCAAGCGTCAAAAAGCGCTTACATTTGTTTTAAAAAGCCAGAGGAAACCAATTATCATAAAAAAAAGAACTGTGTAAAATATCAAAGTATGCAAATGGCAGATTTAAGTGGCGATGTGATCAATTCTAATTTTTTTTGGGAACAGCTCGAAAATAAGATTCAGTCCTTTCCTTTTTCAGCAGAGGCGGATCTAGGATTTTCTCTAGGGG